TAGTTAATATAAGGGCATCTCTAATTTTTGGCAAGTTCTTAGAGACTACAGAGGTATCTAAGAAAGAAATGGAGAGACTGTGGATGGACTGTAGTGTGTAAGGTCTAATGGACCAGTTCTGACTCTTGCGTCAGAGCTGTCTGGCTCTGGTAGAGAAAGCTTGGTTTTCCCCAGTCAGCCTTTCTGATCTCTTATGATGCAGGATGGTGAGGGAGCATTGGTGTCACCAATGCTGGTTTGGGTTGGAGGGGGTGAACAATCTAGAGGAAGAGGCTCAGGGTAGAGCCCCAGTGCAAGCTGGGTAAATGCCCATGAACTTCTTTCACAGAGAATTCCTGAGCAGCAAAGCTCAGGGTTTCCCCACAACACTAAGCAGGTGCTGCTTTGCTTTTGGGGGGAGTTGTCTGGTACTGGCATCCACAGAAGAAGGGGGGGCTCAGAATTGCTCTTGTATTCAATGGTATTGCATTGAGACCATTGCATAGAACAGCAGTCAAAGGACCAAAGTCTTCTCCTCAGTTCTATTTTACTGTTCACTCTTTTTATTAATGTTGTCTGAGCTCTTCTTCCATGGCAAAGCCCTGTGGCCAACACATGATAAAGTAGTTGCTTCCTCCAGGATCTCTACATTGAACAATCTGCTTCAAGAGCTTAGTCACTATACTTCTACTGTCTCTAAAGTACATCTATCCCTCATCAGCTTATGGTACCACTGATAATGAGAATGCTGTCCATCCTACTCTTGAACTGGAGCTCAATAGACAGTTGGATTAAAGATTTCCTATCTTCCCTAGGAGAGGGGGGGCTGCCTTTGACTTGATTGGCCTGTTTTGCCTCACACAGTGATCATATTTTCAGATATAGAGATGGTATCACATAGCATGACTTAGCCCCTTGCTATCTACCTCTATCTTCATGCCTTCTCCCCACTCCACTCCAACAGTCTTGAAATACAGCAGCCTATTCCAGACTCAAGACTTTTGCATTGGCTATTAACTTCTCACACATTCTTCTTAGATTTTTACATATCTCTTTCCCTTCTTTTCACGCATGACTTTCCTTAAACATCATTGTATTCACTGATTCTAATTTGCAGTTTTGATTGTTTCTGTAGTATAAACACTTGTAGTATAATTGGTTTCATGCTACCAAAGTTGACATCAACCCGCAGAAAAAACTCTCAAACTCTGAGTAGTTGCTCATTTATGCCCTTATGAGTTGATGGCAAAGACACTTATCGAGAATGTCCCCTGGCTGTGTTCCAATTAACACCCTTTACAATCATGAGGCTTCCATGCCACAATTTAGGAAACACTGGTTGGACCAAGTCTTTGATACAAGTGAGGCTTTTCTTTTGAAGGGTTTAACGAGACTTGTGTTGGTTAGATTTATTTGTTCATGAGGAATAGTATTTGTTCCCTGTTAAGGGACAGCATCTTCTTCTTTGAAGCATGGTACTAACTAGCATTGTGGATCATCGTGGTCATCATAAAAATAGTGACAAGATGCTCTGATGGGACCCATGGTAGATCACCAAAAGTGCCAAGAAGCAACTACTTGTCCAGCTTTCAGAAATTACATTCACAGCTAAGTCTAGTTTTTTTTTTAAATCTTCAAGTAATTGTACAGAGGGATTTCAATCCAACATGTCAGTTTATAAGTACAATGCATCTTGATCAGTGTCACTACTTTCATTATTCTCCCCATCTATAACCTCCCACACACCCACTCTACAATCTCAATTTTCCTACTTCCTTCTTTTTTTTGTGTGTGACAGTCCTGAGGCTTGAACTTAGGGCCTGGGCGCTGTCCCTGAGCTTTTTTGCTCAAGGCTAGCACTCTACTACTAGAAACCACAGCGCCACTTAGGGCTTTTTCTGAGTAGTTTATTGAAGATAAGAACCTCACCAACTTTCCTGCTGGCTTCCAACTGTGATCCTCAGTTCTGAGCCTCCTGAGTAGCTAGGATTACTGGCATGAGCCACCAGCGCCTGCCTCCTACTTCCATTTTCACGTATGTACATCGAATACTGTGACTGCATTTGCCCACCCTTCTTCATTTGTCTACTTCCCTCCCCTTAGACTCCCTCACCCACCCACAAAAGTTCCAGCTTCCTAGCACTTACTTTGTTGAATTGTGAGATAGCTGTTGGAGGGAGTTAAAACATTGGAATCATCCCCCACATATATCATCCTTTTGTTAATATGTTGTGTGTGTGTGTACACATATATATATATTCCTGTATACATATATATATATATTCCTGTATATGAAATCACTGGCTTATTAGCTAACTACCTCAGCTAACTACCTCAGCGTCTGCCCTCAGAAACCAGGTCACTAACACCATTGGGTGCTGCTATGTTTTATGGCCATTATAAAGCACACACAACATTCTCTAGGCACCTGGCATTTCTTAACTATGAGTTGTAAGCCATTCTGCAATTTTTATCAAGTTTGTAAGTAATGTGCTTTTACACATTGTTCTCAATCCACTGACAGATACACTTGCCAACTCCTCTTTCCACCCTTTCCCTTTCAAGAAGTGATATAGGAAGCAACCTGGTATCTATTGATCACCTGCTATCTACAAGGTCTCATACTGGGTCCTCTCATGCCTCATTTCGCTTAATCCTCAGTTATGGAAAAAGAGTATTACTTTATTTTTCAAATAAGGAAACAGAAGCTTAAACAGGTTGAGAACATTTTCTCAAAGTTCCCCATACAAGAATTAGAATTCAACACCGGCTTTTAAAATTATTGTTATTATTATTATTATTTTCTTTAACTTTATTTCATGCACGGGAGATGCCACTTATTGTTTTCCAACAGTAAATGTTTCACACCCTTCCCTTTAAAATAATACAAAAGTTATATACTCTACAATCAGCTAGAGTATTGATAAAATGTTTTTCTCCATAGCCATCTTTTATGCTTTTAGTAATAACATGGAATAAATTGAAGCTACTGTGCTATGCCATCAATGTAGTTCTGATGAGAGTTTCTGAAACATGTATTTTGTATATATTTTCTCCTCCGTTAAAATTGTTATTGTAAAGGTGGTATACATAAGTCAGATGAAGAGTACATTTCTTTTTTTTATTGTGAAAATACTGTACAGAGGGGTTACAATTACATGGGCAAGATAATGAGTATATTTCTTATCAAGCATTGTAGCCTCCTCCTTTGTTTCCCTTTCCCATCCTCCCCCCACCCTGTCCCCCCAATCTTCCCCTCCTGCCCCCCCGCCTGCACCAAAGTTGTAAAGTTTTCGACATAACGACTTGAAGAGTACATTTCTTTTTGAGCAGTGTCACCCCTTCCCTCACTTTCTCCCAGTGTTCCCTCCTGACTTCCTCCCCCACAAGTTGTATAGTTCATTTTCCACCGTGTCTAGTGACTATCTCTGCTGCACTTGTTTACCCTGTATCCCAGCATTTCTGTGCTCCCCTCTTATTGTCCCCAAACAGATAAACTTACAAGACAAAAGGTACAGAAAAAACAGCAACAAAAGAGAAAAACAAAAACAAAATACAAAAATGAAAAGATATCCCCTCCTGTTTCCATTTCTTGAAGTTCATATTATTTTTAACCTTAATGTTCTCCTCCCTTTTGACTTTTTCTAGAACTAGAGATTTTGTACCTTGGGTATTGTGCTTGCTAGGCAAGCATGTACTCTACTACTTGACCCCACTCTTCTCCTTTTAAAATAAGAATTTCCCCTCAATAGTTTGTAAGAGATGAGGGTGACTATACTCATCATTAATTCACCTCCTAATTTATTTCCACTGAGTTTTACAAATACTTCAGAAATGGGAAATCTGCCTTAGGCTTCCTTTGCCCAAGCAGTAGTTTGTCAAATCGAAAAGGAAAGGGCTTTAAAAAAATCAATGTCTTTAAATAGGTAAATAAGAAAAAAAAATTACATGTAGGTGTTTGAGTACGTAAAATGTTAGCACCCAAAGATAAATTTTGGCTGTGTGACCTTACGATAAACGAACATCACAAAATGTGCTGATGTGGCTTTAGGCACTTCCATGATTTTTGCATGTGTCATTAGTTAGGGTGTCATTATGAGTTGCTGGGCTCAGGGCTGTGCACAGGCTCAGAAGAACCAGATCCTCTTCCTGTTTGAAGTATCCAATGCTGTAGGAGTCCCTGACTATAGCCCTAATCTTCTGCTTCTCTCCTTTCTTTCTTCCCTTCCTCTACAGGTCCTCTGGAGTCCAGGGAGGTGGGTGATGGGCAGGACTGCCTCCGGCTAGCACCATGAAGCTTGAGTCTGTTTCTGCTGTACACTGGGCCCTGCTCTGCCTGAGTGCTCAGCTGCTTGCTGCTCTCCTTGCGGAAGCCCACCGCTGCTAGGAGACAGAGCTTCAGGATTGGTCCTTGGCCTGTGTCTACCTTTCACCTGGCTCACCTTACGAATTCACTCCTCCTCCATTACGGCACCCCAGCCCCCAGGCCTGTTCTGGGCTTCAGGGGCTCTGCTGGGTGGAGTACGTTGCTGAAGGCTTTGCCTTCCCCTGTACTCCTCTCTTCCTCCTCCTCTTCTTCGTCCTCCTCGAATCAAGGCCTCCGGATCCACATGGATAGCTGAGATCTTGTCTTGGAGAAAGACACCTTGTCCTCACTCCAGACTGTCCCTCTGCCTGATTTGACTTTCCCCTGTTTGCTTCTTCTGCCTCTTGATCAGAGTTCTTGCTCTTCTGCCCACCTGGGGCTGTCTTGTTCTCTTTCCTGTTTCCTCACCCTTCCAATATTTATGTGTGCAGCTCCCTCCTGTTGTATGCTCTCTGTCTCCCACTCGGTCTTGTCTTCCTCTCTCCACCACCAAAGGGAGATCCTCCCTTGAAAGGACTGTTTTCCTGGCCTGCGTGTGCCTCCAGGCCCTGACTAAGTGGCCACAATGAGCTTCACCTTCCACTCGGTGTTCTTCACCTTGAAGGTGAGCATCCTGCTGGGGTCCCTGCTGGGACTCTGCCTGGGGCTCGAGTTCATGGGCCTCCCCAACCAGTGGGCACGTTACCTCCGTTGGGATGCCAGCACGCGCAGTGACCTGAGCTTCCAGTTCAAAACCAATGTCTCCACGGGGCTGCTCCTCTACTTGGATGACGGTGGCGTCTGTGACTTTCTCTGCCTCTCGCTGGTGGATGGCCGGGTACAGCTCCGCTTCAGCATGGATTGCGCGGAGACGGCGATGTTGTCCAACAAGCAGGTGAACGACAGCAGCTGGCACTTCCTCATGGTGAGCCGTGACCGCCTGCGCACAGTGCTGGTGCTGGACGGCGAGGGCCAGTCCGGCGAGCTGCACGCCCAGCGGCCCTACATGGATGTGGTCAGTGACTTGTTCCTTGGTGGAGTCCCATCCGACATCCGACCTTCTGCCCTGACTCTGGATGGAGTACAGGCCATGCCCGGCTTCAAGGGATTAATCCTGGATCTCAAGTATGGCAACTCAGAGCCTCGGCTCCTGGGGAGCCAAGGCGTCCAGTTGGAGGCTGAGGGACCCTGCGGTGAGCGTCCTTGTGAAAATGGTGGGATCTGCTTCCTCCTGGATGGCCACCCTACCTGCGACTGTTCTACCACGGGCTACGGTGGCACCCTCTGCTCAGAAGGTAAGACCCTTTCCCCTCCCCTCTCTTGCTAGGTGCTGGCTGCGAGGCCTGATGGAAGCCAGTTTGATGTGAAAGCGCATCTTTATAACATGCATCTTTATAACTGCATGTTAGATCATCGGGCCCGTTCCCCCGGGAGGTGGTGGAAATCCTTTGCTCACTCTCCCATCCCAGCAGGAAGAGAATCCTGGCAACTCAACCAGAGGCAGCTGTGGTTCTGTTCTCAAGTCACAGAGCTGGAGGGAGTTAGACTACATGTGGAGTCTGTACTTCCAGCTTAGTTCCTTTTCCCCAGCACAGCTCAGCAGGATGACCGCAGGACAAGAAATGAGATCGACCCAGCCAAGGGTCTATCTCCGTACCTCCTGAATCTTTGAGACTTGGACTCTGAGGGGAGGGTAGGAAACTGTCCTCCTGTCCTCCTTATATGGGCCCAATAAGAATGAAGGTGGATGGGCTAAAGGGTTTATGCATGGTCTGATTATAAAGCTTCCAATCAAGATGAAGAACCAGCTGGTTCAAGAGTTGAGGGAGGTCAGGGGTGGGGTGAGGCAACTGACTCATTCCCGACTCCCAGGTTTTCTTCATTCGGGTACAGCCCCACCGGTCTGGGGTTTGTAATTAACATTTGTACTTGCAGGTTTTCCTATTTCCAGAATAGTCCAACCCCCGAAGCAGGTTGTGGCTGATGTAAACGTCAGCTCTTAGTAACATATATGTTTGTGTGTATCTACGAATGAAAACAAAACTTATTCCACAGGTGGCTCCTTCTGGAGACTAAGACAGTGCCGGAGGTGGTGATGAAGGCCTCCTTGTAGGTTGTGCATGGGTTAGTGTGGAAATGTTCCCTGGGGCTGTTCTTCCTTCCTCTGCTGGAGAAGCATGCCTGCTGTCCTGTGGGTGGGCTGTTGAAAAGGGAGATGCCAGACATACACATTGTCCCCCTCTAGGGCTTTAAATTTTTCCTCCATTGACCTCATAAGGGGGTGAAGAAAAGTAGCAGAGGTAATCTCACTTCATGATACCACTGGGAGAGTGTGGCTATTGAAATGATTTTGATAAGCAGGAGCCTTTTGAAGCTGATTGATATTCCAAAGCTACTTGGCTTTGGAGAAAGTTCTGCCGGAAGACGCTGACACGATCACTTGTTTTCTCAGTTGCCCAAAAGGATCTGTTCTGTTCTGAGAACTTGCATTGAAAGCTGGCATTCTTCCTTTCTAAGGACCAGGGTGTTTGAAAGTGTGTTGTTAACTTGCTGATTATCCCTGATTGCTTTTGTGTGTGTGTGTGTGTGTGTGTGTGTGTGTGTGTGTGTGTGTGTGTGTGTTTAAAAAGAACTCATTTCCTCCAGGCAGGTTTGAATCAGCACTTTTTTTTTTGCAGGAAGAATCTCTATACCATATATGTATATATTCTATTTGTCTTTTCTCTCCCTTTTATTTATTTTTGTAGCGTGTGTTTTTCCAGTCTCCAGTGGAATTTCTTCAGAACAGATTGTGTGCAGTCAGTATTTTAATAGCTAAAGGCAATATGTGTGTTTTAATAATGGTTCTTTCCGCAAGGTTCAGATCATCTCTTGGCTATGGATTGATAGCTATTTGTAGAAGGCAAACACAGAGTGTCATTCATTTATTCTCCTGATACATAAGTAGAGTCAATAAACTCTGTTATAACTGTGACATTTGGCTGGCCTGGAATGGAGCAGTACAAAGGTTGAGGTGAGGATTGGATACTGGGGGGATAACAGAGTTTACTGTTGAGAACTTGGAGCCAGCTGATTCCAGGGATTGTCATGAGGTCGAATCAATCACAATAATGTATTATAGACTAATAGAAAATAACTGTTGCCTCCACACATAGTTAACTCTAAGGGAGTAAGTGAGATAATTCTGTGAAGTGTCAAGTAATTCGGTATGAAACAAGATAAATGGGCTAAACTTGCCTGTTTTGCTCAAGGTGAAGTGAAATGGGTAGGAAGAATACAGACACCACCTTCCTCTTCCATTGCATGTCATAGAACTGAAACCACAGGACTTAGTCCTGGCAGTGGGTCCTGTGTATCCAACATCTGACTGTTCTGATGTGTAGAATGGGCCTTTCCATTGGATTGTGTGATGGTTGCATCTGCCATGGGATCATTTTTAACCTCTTGATTTATCAGTTGGAAGAGCAGGGAGGTGAGGTGAGCAGGCTCTGCAACATCATATAGCTTTTGTTGGGGTCTGTTGGAGGCATCCTGGGTAGTCAATTCTCTTGTAGCCTACCTGTAATGTTGTTGTTTGCTTGGTCTGTTTGTGTTTCTATGGCTTCATGGCTCCAAAAGGTTTCCATTCTGTACCTCAGGAAGGATGTTCAGCTGGAGCTCTCTCTTTAAAAATCTAGTGAGCTATTCTGATTCTCTGCTGGGAAGATCCAAAAGATACTAAAGGTACTTGATATGAGAGATCTGGGCCTAGGGTAAGAGGAAACAAATAAAATATCATTGGAGATGGCTGTACAGTGGATTCTACACTGCTTTTATTTGGGAAAACTTCATTCCAAGCTTTTCAAGCTAATTAACAGCCACAGTGAACATAATGGATGCAGAGAGGAGGTCCCAGATTTTTACTTTTAGGTATGTTGTTTATAAATAAAATGCTTTGGTGCTCAACTAGAAACAATGTTGGAAAATAGACTAAGTACAGGCATTTGTACCTATTTAAAACTATGCACATCTAGTTTGGGATAGACTCAAGCCTGGGCTACAGATTTTTTGTTTGACTCATCCTTGAAGCTTTACTGGCCAGTGAAGGGATTTCCTTGGTTCCCTCTAGGGAAAAGTCTCCTCATAGGTCACAGCGAGTTTGTTATTACCTTGGAATGAGTTTAAGTTTGATTATTTTTAAAGACTTTTTTTAGTTATGAATGCACACGTATTGAATTTCTCAGCAACCTTCTGGTTGTGAAACATCGATTCACTGCCAAGGTATATAAATTTCAGTCCCAGTTTCCTTGAACAGTTCATTTAACATAAAGTCGGCCTGTTGCAGGCAGGGTGGAGCCAGGGAACAATGGAGACAACTTCATGGTTATTTCTCCTCCTGTCTTGTGACATGAACCTACCTGTGTCATATATTTTAATCTATCTGTCTGTCTGTCTATATCTTCTTTGGGTGATCACACTTCAGATTAATTCAGTGAAGAGGTATGCCATCCAATTCCATTGAGAGAGAGAGAGAGAGAGAGAGAGAGAGAGAGAGAGAGAGGAGAGGAGAGGAGAGGAGAGGAGAGGAGAGGAGAGGAGAGAGCAGTTGGCTTGTTTTTGGTTACTTCTTTTGTGCTGACTTTTGCATTTACCCAGATCAGAAGCTATCTGCTTTGAGTCTCAGCTGCTACATCTGCAAGTGTTGGGATCTTTCGGTGAGGTATAGTGTAGGTCACTTGTGATGGGGACCAGGCCTTAACACAAGCACACTAGTGACCATACCCCTCCCCCCCCCCCACCTACTGCCTGACATCCTATCCAGCTTGGTTTGATAGATGGCTCATCACTGCTCTGTGGCCTTCCTATGCCTTCCTGAAAGAAAATTTCAATTACTTTTCTTTTTTATTGAGGATTATGGGATGCTTCCCCCATCTCTCAAAGCCAGAATGAGGGCGGATGGCATACACCAAGAGGAGACTGCTTACCTGTGAGCATTTATGGAATGCCCAGAGACATCAGGCATATCATTAAGGCACCAGTGATGCACTAGTTGGATCTTCTTTTTGGAGAGCGGAGGCATTTGAGTAAAAATACAGCCATCTTCCCTTCTCCTTCTCAGTGTACCTTGCCAGAATTATAACATAAAGCATTGTCCTAACCTGTGTCAGTTCTGAAGGCTTTGGAAAGACAGGGCTCTGGGGGAGGTAGGGAGTAATCAGAGGGTGAAAGGAATAATTCCTAAGCACTTCTCCCCGGTATGGAAAAGGTAGAACAGAAGCAAAGCTTGACAATATACACAAAGGAGAGATGGCTGCTCTGGAGCCTTGACTCCCCACCTAGCATTCAGATTTTAGACAGGATCAGCCCCAGCTCTCTACCAGCCCAGCCAGCCAGTCAGCAGGGGCTGTCGCTAACCAGAGCTTGAATAGGGGTCTGATTGCTCCTTTTTCCTCCTCTCCTCCTGATTACCAAGTGAGATTTCCTGGGTATGCTGTATGCTAAATGGTAGAACAGCCGCCTGCCACTTGCTCCAATTATCCCTCTTTTTAACTGCTGAGGGAAGAACAATTTTTTCTAATCTCCCCCCTCCCATAACATCTCTGTATCCTTTAAAGAAATAAGCCCCCTTTTCCTTGTTCTTCAGTGTTGGTGAGAGCAGTTTCTTTCTCTTTCCCTTTGCACTGAGATTGTGTACCAGCTGTAAGGCTGCACAAAGGGGTGGGCAGTTGGGTAATGATTTGGACCACATTTAGTGAGGTTGAGGGTCAGGGCAGGCATTTTGCCAGGAGCCTTGGAGTGGCACGTGTGAACTCACATTTGCATTTGGTAATGAGATACCACAGGCTCAGTACTGGGGGCTAATTATTTTCAAGGCCTCTATCTCCCTTTGCAGGCTGCCCTGGGATGATAGTTTCTAGTTCCAGGGGCAGCTGCCCATCATCTGGGTCCCCTCCCACCTTTTCAAGGGAGGAGAGGTGGGGGTGGGGGTGGGGTAGGATGCAGACTGACTGCTTGGGGGATGGGACTCACCTGCTGTCCCTTCATTCCTGCCTGCCCTCCTTCTATTACCCTGTGCTGTCTAGCTCTGCAGTGAGATGCCAGAAATGGAACTGGAGCGAGAAGCTTTGGGCAGGGCTTTGTCCAAGGGCTGGATGTACTTCCTGGGACAAAATAATAATGATGTGGTTATCACCATTGCTATTTTTGAATGCCACCATATGCCTGGCATTCTGGTGCAGTTGTATTTATCCTTACCAGGCTTTCATGAGGTGGTTATCATGAAGTGACCCCATTTTACAGATGAAGAACCTGAAGAGCAAAGAAATGTGGGATTGGAACCAAGTTTTGCAGGCTGGCTAAGAATATGGCCACTGGAATGCAAAGGATGTGGATTTAAATTTGGGCTGGCCCATTTACAGACTGTCTTCCGAAAAGGATTTTGAAGTTTCAATCTCTTTATTAATAACCATATTACTAACCACAGCAGCTAGTAGTCACAGAACCCTTGTGTAGTGCTATGTTGTTCTAACTGTTTGGCATGCATTTGCTTTTGTTACTCCCCGCCCCCCACCACCGAAACACACTAGTATTGCTTTACCTGGTAGGTAGGGAGAGTGAGGGGTAAGAGATTAGCTCACTTGTCCAGGATCATGTAGATAATGAGGCCAAACTGAGTTTGTTTGTTTAAGCTAATCTGTTTGTCTTTGGAGCCCCCATCTGCCTTGTTATCTTGCCTCTCTGTTGAGTAGGGATCATAACAACCAGACCTTGTGGAGTCTTTGGGAACACTAAATGAGATAAAATATACAAGATTGTTTTCATAGTCTCTAGGAAGAGCAGGGTCTGCCTGCCTGTGGCCCCTTGGTCTCCTGGCCCCTGTGTGAATGGTCTGTGTATCAACTTGGCTTCACAGATTGGGTGCTTCCCTGTGGGAAAGGTGGCAGAGGCAGAGGAGGGGAATTGATAGAGGGTGTAAAATCCAGTGGCAGCACGGGATTGCTGACGAGGGTTTGGCTGTTGAGCACATTCACCATTCACAGATCTTCTTCTGCACATGTGTGCTGGATTGGCCTCCATAGCAACTCAGTAAGGCAGGGAGGGAAGGTCTCTACCATCCCACTGAATAGGATGGATGACCCAGACCCTGAGGTGCCCCTGAACCTATCATAGGTAGAGATTGTGGGGGAAAGTGTTAAGTGCTGCCTGTTTGGCAAGTGTCACTGGGAGGAAACGAGTGTCCCCATGCCCAATATGGCCTTTTTCTTCAGCTCTTGGCTTCCTTCGATTAACACAAATGACCCGTGTCTCCATTGCAAAATGGAGGGTTGTCTCTCTGGATGTGTATGATAAGCAAAATGTCAGACTCCTGGTGCAGAAGGTTATCAGCTTGGCTGGTCTCAGGAGACTTGCTCCTTCCAGTGAAAGAGAGCAGGAAAGAACATGAAAATTGATGAAATGAGTATTTAATTCCCACCCTCAAGATCTTGATTTGCAGTGAAGTGCTTGGGAACCGGACCCAAGGGTCTCGAGGCAGTCGGAGCCCAGCTGTGGCACATAGAGGAGCATCACTGGAGGGAATGGCCTCTTTACAACTTACCTTTGCTTTCCAGGGTACCAGAAAATGCCCAGAAACGCACACAGGGCTACTGGTAAAATTGGAGCTCCTGGATTATTCTGTCTGTCTCCATTTGGATCTTTGTACTTCTCTTTCTCTTTACATGTAACAACAAAACCAGTCTTCCTTATTCTATGTTCATGCTATTCTTTTCCACCCTCCCTCCCTCCCTCTCTCTCTCCTCCCCCCCCCATGTGTGTGTGTGTGTGTGTGTGTGTGTGTGTGTGTGTGTGTAGGCAAATTTTTACAAAAGTGGATTTACAATGGGATTAAACTTTTTCTAAGTCCTCATTTGTGTGACCCGCTTCCAAGGCCCTCTATCTAATTATCTATTTGTAAATTTTTAAAAGACTTCCAGATATCATAAACTTCAATCTCGCTTGTGTGAATCAGCGAAGAAGATCCATTGATGTCTGGAGGCAACAACATTGCTCTGGGCATCTCTGTGATGCCCTTGAAACAGTGATCACAGAGGTGCCAGGATCATGGCTGGGCAGTGTGTAGTGGTGCTGGTGAAAGGAATACAGGAAGTTGTGGAGGTGAGTGGGAGGGGGGAGAAGGAGACTAAAGGATATCTAGGGGTTAAAGAGAGGAATTGTTTGGAAATGTCAGCTGCAGATTTAGGGAATAAGTTGGAATTTAAGCGGAAGGATAGCTCCTATGTTTTCTGTGAGCTTCTTCTAGCCGGTCAAGAGGTTTGCTCTGCTTCACTCACAGGGGACTGTGTGGTAGGTGACGGGCTGTGGCTGGTGGAAAGGACAGCGCATGGTGGCACAGGCCTGTCTCCATGATCTGTTTGGGAAGCAACACTGCCAGTGGGTTGTCATTACTGCTGCTGTTCTCCAGAAATTGGTGTCTTTGGGTGACCTATTTAAGAGCAATATGGGGCCTCCTTTAAATGTGTCATTGTCTGTAACAACTCTCAGCCCTTGACTGCTGTCCACAATGTTCCTAAATAATGTATTTCCTGAAGTTGTCTTTTTCTTGTAAACCCAGGAGCCAGTAGATTTTAAAACAAACTGACCTTGGAGTCACCCAAGTAAACTATCCAGGTCTAACTCAGTGATAACCTCCTTTGCATTTAGTTCTAGAAATGGTAGATGCTTTCGTCTCTAGAGTAGAAATGTTATAGTGTAGGGTCTGTAGGAGTTAGACCTACAGAGATGGAACTGGGAAGAAGGCAAGGAATGAACTTAAGGAAGCTGAAGCTTCTGGTTCCAGTTTGAATTTGGAATCCTTTGGATTTTTTGTTTGTTTTATGCCCATCCTGGGGCTTGAACTCAGGGACTAGGCA